CTAACTGCAGACAGTACTGTTTCGGCCTTCTGGGCCTCATCAGTGCAGTGCTAATGCTAGGATGGAGGAGAACCAATATGGTCACCCCAAACGATCCAACCTTTGTGGTATCGTCTAAGCCATGCCAGAGTGCTCAAACTAGAGTAAACCAGCGAGCATGCGCAATTGCAACGGCAATGACTCATCCTAGATAGAGTGCTCAATTTGGACATGAAAGCAAAGCTTTGTATGCCAAAGAGCTATATCTAACTGCAGACAGTACTGTTTCGGCCTTCTGGGCCTCATCAGTGCAGTGCTAATGCTAGGATGGGGGAGAACCGAGACGGTCACCCCAAACGACCCAACCTTTGTGGTATCGTCTAAGCCATGCCAGAGTGCTCAAACTAGAGTAAACCAGCGAGCATGCGCAATTGCAACGGCAATGACTCATCCTAGATAGAGTGCTCAATTTGGACATGAAAGCAAAGCTTTGTATGCCAAAGAGCTATATCTAACTGCAGACAGTACTGTTTCGGCCTTCTGGGCCTCATCAGTGCAGTGCTAATGCTAGGATGGGGGAGAACCGAGACGGTCACCCCAAACGACCCAACCTTTGTGGTATATATATATATATATATGCACATTGTTTTTTTAAGAAAATGTTTACTGCTATTTGGTATGAAATATGAAATTGGCTGCCTAGATATTTTACTGATCACTATGGTAACAAAGACAGTTGCTGTGTGAAATGTTTACCTGTATTGGACATACGTGACTGTATTACGCAAATTGTGCTTATCAGAACTTTCAGTGCACAGACTGGCATTTCTCATCCACTGTATTCAGGGCCATCAGAATTTTCATTTCCATGGCTTAATGTACTTAATGTCTTCTTTTTGAAGGAACACCCAGACTATAATAAGGACAGATGCCATGCCTTTGTGTGTGATATCACAGACAGTACATTTGTTTTTCCAGTTCCAAATGAAAGCCTCGACATCATAATTCTCATTTTCGTTTTGTCAGCAATTCACCCAGACAAGTATGTTGACATTTTGTAAAATTTTATAGATCCTGCCTTTAATTCGATAGAACCATGTTGAAGTCATTAGTGATCCTTGCAAACTGATTAGCTTTCAGCATTGCTAAGTATTCATGAAGTACATTTTTTTTCCTTAATATGGATCTTTACACCAACTACTAAATCAAGTTAAAACGAACTAAGATATAAAAAAAGTTGTCACTTGTGGAAAGATCGATGTAGTTGGTTCATATTTCCTATTATTTGAAAGGGATACCTTATCAAGTTTTTCAAATGTGGCGTACTGAAAGTCAGGGTTTTGTTAGATGGTGGGACAAGGGAGGGGGGGGGGCAGGGTATCATTTTGCTCTTACTTTATCCTTTCACTCCCAGGATCTCATCAGTTATTCTCCTTACTGTCTTCCATACAATTCTTATAATGTCACTTTGGAGAATTTGGAGCTGGATCAACTAATAATCCCTTCACTGATATTTTTTCTTTATTCTCATCATTTGTCTGCTTGATATTGTATTGATATTGTAAGGAGAAATTCTGTCTTGATCATTCAAGGGAGTCAAATGGTTTACACTCACATTACCTTTCTTTGTTTTTTTCTTCTCTGTATGCAGAATGCAAGCCGTTATATGTAGATTATCCAAGGTTGGTACTCTTTTGATGTAAGACTAGAATCTCAAATTGAGCGCCGAAGAACGCGTATTGGTAAAAGAATGGAGAAAAGACACTTCAGCTAGATGTAATCCTCAACTAAGGTCTTTGATTTTTCCTTTTCAGCTTCTCAAACCAGGTGGACTGATTGTGTTTCGAGACTACGGTCGATATGATATGGCTCAGCTCAGGTTTAAGAAAGGTGAGAAGTGACGCCATGTTTTGTTTTATAATTTTAACATAACTCTGCAATAGTGGCAGATTTTCAGCGATTAAATTTAGTCATGAGCTATTGTCAGTCACAAAATCTTTTGTTTTACTAAAGTTGTCCACATTGTCAGAATTGCCATAGCTTAGGCTGTTGGGCGGTAGAAGGGAATGAGGTAGCTGGTGACGGAAAGTTCCCACAATCTTTTAAGAAGGAGAAATGAAGAAGGATAGTTCCCCCCTTAATTGTTTTCGCTCGTCCCGACAGACTGACTGCTCGTTACAGGCTCTGTAGTCTTTAACCATTTTCTTTTACAACTTTCAGTTTTGAATTCTCCGAAAAAAAGCATAAAAATTTTGAATCTGTTTTCCTTTGACCTGTACGTGATTTTCTCGACATTACACTGACCTTAGCAGCGTGCAGAGCACTTTTCATATATAGACAAAGAAAATGGTTCGAGTCACCAACGTTGTCACAGTAGCTCTGTTAATAGAGCGTTCGATAGCGAAAATCGGATAGTCTGAGGTTCGAGTCCTTGCAGAAATGATTATTTTTTCTCATGGCACAAGACATGCACTTTCTTCTTTTTGAATTCTTTACTTAAGATTTCACTGAACCTTGACAAGCATTTTAGTCTCCCTCGCAGCCGTTTTTTCGGATGTCACGCAACGAGCGTTGCGTGACACCCGAAAAAACGGCTGCGAGGGAGACTACAAGCATTTTGGCTCAAAATCTTTTAGCATCCAGCCATTCCTACCAAGTAGAACTATGAACGGTTCCGTTGTATTGTTATTTTTTTTTGTGCGAAAACTGTGGGCCTTCGCTCGCAGGACTGCATTTGTGATGCTTCAGAGAGAAAAACAGAGAAAGGGAGAGGTCTGACAATAAGAAAAAATTTCTCCTGTTGCAGGGATGGGATGGAGTTGTTTATTATTGCACAACTTGATGTACGTAGATATGTATGATTTGATCGACAAAATTGATGGCCCGTGATGTGCAAAATAATCCTTTGATTTTGGAGGAGTACTTTTGACATAGATTTATGTAACCTTTTAAGAAGGGAATACTGCATAAAGCTGTGCCATGACGCGGACTTCGACCAAGTCGATTTTTTTTTGTCGCGTTTGGACAAGTTCTCAGAGCTAAGTTCTAAGTACATTGTCTTTAGTTTTTTTTTTTATATCCTTAGGAAAATGTTTGTCAGATAATTTTTACGTTCGTGGTGATGGCACAAGGGTTTACTTTTTCACACAAGGTAAGAAATTTCAATGCAGCTTTTCAACTTGTAGCTGCTGTTATATTTATTTTTGTCTCGTGACACTGACATCTATAATTAACAGCGTTAAAAAAAAAAAAAAAAAAGAAACGTGCGTATTTGCACACACACACTCTTGAGTTTGTACGGGAGATCTTTGCATGTAGCAGTATAGCTTTTGTGTTCAGTGAGCTTTATAACCAACGTGTTGAGTCCACAAAAGGGCTAAATGAGAAACGGTTAGGACGTGAAAAGCGCTGGGAAAACCTAACAAAGATCCTCTGATGTCTGCCACTTGTTTCATTTGCACAGTATCATAGTCAGATAAGTTATGTGCGAAAATTTGAGGTTTATGCTTTTGAGCTTCTTCCCTGAAAATATGACACAAAGCCGTAAATTATTCTCAAAAGTTTTCATTGGGTTCGTTTTATCAACAAGAATGATAAATAGCTTAACTTGAGAACCCTTCGACTCTCCCCTCCCCTTTTCCTACCATGTGTCAACAGATAAAGCTTGCTAGGAATAAAATGTTTCACCGAGATTTCAACATAACATTTTACTGGATCAAATGCAAGCAAGAACAGCAGGCTCGATGCTCTGCCCACAATTATGCCAAATTGTCATCTGACCCAAGTAAGAATTCGAAAAGCGCTGGGAAAACCCAACAAAACTCCTTTGGCGTGTGTTTCATGGAGAGTTTCTTTACTCGATATCGCTTTACTCCGTGAAAAATGCGCAGAATTACTTGAAGAGTTGAATTGGTAAGAAACTTGCCCTTTCTGAAGCTCACAACAAGAGCGATGGAACCGTTTTGAGGTTTTCAATAACGGATTAATTCCTTAAGCTTTTGATAAGCTTGCGCCGACCTACCCGTAACCCAGCCAAAATACATCCACGTTTGCACTAATAGCAGACGCTCCGGGAATCTGTAAGATCTCTTTTTCGACCTTTTATGGTAAAGTACACTTTTCCGTCTTAGGATACACACTGGTGAAACAACATTGTGGGTTTTCGGGTATTTTCGCGGTTTGTTTAAATTGCTGACGCTGTGTCAAGAAGCCGCTAAATTCTTTTTTCTATTAAACGTGGGAACAAGTTTTCATTTCCCTCTGTGGGTATTGAAAGAGTTTTGATCGACCCTTGAGTCCGGAGGTTTTTGTTTTTGATGTGTGGTTATGAAAAATAAAAATGCATGTTTTTTTGTTTTGTTTTGTTTTTTTAAAAAGGGTAATTTGAATTTCGTATTGTGTTCAACTAACAGGATTTACTGAAGCATTTTATTTTAAAATCGGAAACGTGCCGATGACTTCCTTGTACTGAAGTAACGTCTAATTGTGATAAATGGCTTTTGTACTATTTCGAGCAAACTTGTCGAGTTTAAAAAGAAAAAAAAAAAAACTGAAATAACAAAACAAAAAAAAAGGAAAAAAATTCATGTCAGTGTAACCAAAACAAGAATGGCAATCGGCTAAACAACAACGAGACACCCAAAAGAATAGGATGTTTGTGGGCGAAATGGACAATTGTTCGCATGTTGGAGAAAGCAAATCTCGGAACAGCTTGTTTACCAGTTCGAGCTTATGGCCTACGTGCTTAGAAATCAATATCTTAACCTGCTCGCCAGCAGGTAATTTAATGATTAAGAAGCGGAAATCTAGCATTATGTTTGAAAACAAACTGAAGTATTTGATATCGAGATGATTTGACATTTGCTGGGTCGCTTCTATCGTACGTGACCAGCTGATAATACTCCACTTGTGTTGGTTGCAAAAACAACTTTGGGCGTGGTTCATTTTCAGCCCTTCCGTTGTTGGGCCATCAGACCGTGAAAATTACACCAATTTTTTTTTAAGGGTTATTTTAAGAAATTGTTTTTTTGAATGTGAAGTCCCTATGAAGGGGAGCTTGTAAATTTTCGGTAACTTGTAAAGTACATCTTTGTAGTATGTTTAAGTTTTTGCCTTTTGGTTTTTTAATGTGAAGTAAACATTTTGTAATGTGTGGATGAAATGATACCAAAAAAAGAAAATAATAATCCACTGAGCGAGTGAAATATTGTTATATATTTAATTCTGACAAACTGAATGCATAAGAAACACTAGTTACTTTTTAAACAAATTTATGGCCTTTCGTTAAGATTGCTTGAAGCAGAGTCTATATATAAAATCATTTACCTCAAGATAAAATTAATAGGGCCTAGCGTAAGCGTTTATCTGTATTTTTATTTGTTTGTCTGCCCCAAGCAAATTCTGGGTTATCGTCAAGCGATACAGGACTGATTCTTGTTAAACAAACGGTCATAAAGTTTGTAGAACATTATAATTAGTAAATTTTCTATACCAGTGCAACAACACTTGAATGAGTTTGACAACCCTTTCAAGAGTTGGCAGCATTTTACAACTGGGGAAATGTGTAAACAAGGCCGCCCACAAGAACTTAAAACTGCTCACTCAGTGAATATCTTTCTCAAGTGACTTGTAAGCCCACCGATTGGCGGAGGGAGAGTTTGAAATATTTATCTTGTGAGATCAGAGAGATTATAAAGACTACAATTCGTGCTTTCCTGGGTGTTTTTTTTTCTCGCGGTTGAATAAATCTCTTTGTTACTAAAATCATATGTGGTGTCTACAATCACTGTGCTCGCTCGAACAATCTTCTGTCTTTATGAAATTAATTTTCTCTGCAATTGAAGACGAGGTGGCGTTGATAGCTAGGGCTTCCTTTCTTGTTTACGTCGTGTTGAAAAAAAATTCTGTGAATTTTGCGGAGAAAAAAGTTATACTGCCTGAGTATATTATCATCGAGGAGCTTTTGGTGTTTCAATGATCCGAATTCTGTTTGTATTTTGCGGGCTGCGCCAATTTCCGTGCGATTTTTTTAACTCCTGATTTCCTAGAATTTTAGAGTTCCTGTTTACGATCTTATCGGACTGTGTTGGCATTTCAAAGCAAACTTAATCTAAATGAACAAATATGGCTTTGAAACTAACAACAGTGGCTTCTTAAGTGTTCAGTTTGCCGGACACATATTTAATAGCAAGGTGTTTTGGCAAGCTATTAGAGCGCAGATTTCAACAGGTGTCTAAATCCAGTTCTTAATTTATTCCCAACCATTTAGGGTTAATCTTATATTACCTGCTGTCGACAGGAATCAGGATATTTTGTTGAACATACGTGATGTTATTTGTATCCGTCATCTTGCTTACAGAACGTCCTTTAATAGGCAGATATTGCACAACTTTAAATGTTATATACATTTCAGGGCGTAATTGCCAGATTTCTCGACAGAAATCAAAGCGCTTTTCTTCTGTTTTGTGATTTCTTATTGGATCGTTAGTTCATTCAAATTTACATCTTATTTCTGTTTGTCTTCCGCTTTTCTGTCCAAGGCAGTAAGTAGTTTAACACGAACCACAGATCCGTTGCTGTAAGGAGCCAAAATAAGAAATTCACATCACAATTTGATCGCCGTGTGGAGCCGAGTCTGCGGGGAAACCAATTACAGCAGATTGATTGATTTTGACGGTGGTTTTCATTCGAAGACAAATAAACTTGCCCGTGGCTAAAGAGTTATTAAACAACACTTTGTAGCGACAGGTTGACAGAGGCGTCTGATTGGCTGCATGGTGGACTTCAAATGCCATATTGTCAAAAGAACCTGTTATATGGTAACGAAGGTTTGGTCTTTATCAAAGACCTTTTGAGGAGGCAAACTGTCTTTGTGTGCCACTATCAAAACAGCTCATTTCGCATTTCATCCGCTTCGGTACCTCACAAATATACTGCGTTTTCTCTCAGATTTTGAGCTTGTCTCTCGCATCCTGTCTTGTTTATCTTTGCGCCATTCGGCGAAAATGGCGCAAGCAGTTTCCTTTATCGCGGGGAAACCTCTACGGAATTAAAAATACCTAATGGTATTCTATGCTCTGATTAGATTAACTAAACATGAAGTCTCGACTGTTATTTATATTATCTCTCCCGGGGGGCAGTTATGAGATTTTGAAGCTCGCATTTTCGGCTTTAAACAAATTGTAGATTTATAATATCCTTTCATTACGTTCATGACGGTGGAGGAGATAAAAACTCGTAAGGACAGACACTACAGCATATTCGTAAAATTTTATTCCAGGTGTTTGCAAACAAGGTTACTCGATTCAAAGATAACTTTGATTCAACAGGTGTTAAGCATAGTCAAATATCTGCACTGATTAATGCGGTTTCTTTGTGTACAAGGGCGACAGAAGATTACTCAGACTCGCTTGAAATGAAATCTCCATTCATAAACGATCTCCCTGCACATACATTCTAACAATTTTTTGGGTGTAAGATTTACAGTAATAGAAAACATATCTGCCATTTCTTTTTATCGATGGAAGTTGGTTTTTAATGACGAATTCGTTGTTACAACTTCCCAGTGTTTAAAAGCTCTTAAACACATTTGCAAAGACTGGATTGTTTGTCAAATTGTTAGAGAAAAGTCAATCTTATTCTTGTTAAAATTCCGGCGATCTTGTTACTTAATCGGACTATTCTCTACACCAGAGCCTATTAAACATTTTTTTCTTAGACTGGCTTCTCTTAGCGTCAATTCTATTGTCATCTTACGTTTAAACAAAGACATCTTTCAGGAAATTATTTCCAACACTTTAACCACAACTGAAATTTTTTCTTTTGAGCGCCGGTAAGCCATTTAACTTATCATGGCGCGATTTGCTGAGCTTTGATAGCGAATCGATCGTTCTGGAATATAGTTAATCAGTTTTCCGTGTTAAGTGCTATTACCAGGGCAGCCGTTGTCTTCATGTTTAAGTAGTAGTGACATTCTTGAGAAAGATTTCGAGCAAAGACCACAGCTGTACTTTTTCACGTCTGAGTGTGTCTGTAGATGCGCACGAAGATTCGATCTGTCTGCGAAAGCGCGCTGGCAATTCGGGCATTTATATGGCTTTTCACCTGTGTGTGTTCGAATATGTCCTTGAAGTAGCCAGGGTCGGCTGAATGCCTTCCCGCAGATTTTACACTTACAAGGCAGTGTATGAGTCCGAATGTGCATTTTAAGCGCTCCAAGGGACACGTACAGTTTGTCGCAGTATTTGCAGTGGAACGGACGCTTCTGGTGCGGATGACAATGATATTGCTGGTGTCTTAGAAGCGATGTTAGCGAAGAATAATTTTTGCTGCACTCCTGACATTGGTAGTGATTTCGCATTGTTTGCCCTGGGGCAATCTCATTGCCGTTTTCATCAACGCTTCTTATACCTGGTTGTTTTTCGTTTGATTCCACGGTAACACTCTTTGGAATTTCTTTCAGCACATTGAGGCTGGAAACTTCGGCCGGATAGGTGAAAAGTCTCTTTTCCCAGGTCATTTCGACCGGCATGTGAAGCATTGTGTTGATAAGCGGCGGTGTTGTAGCATGTTGTAAATCTTGATTATAACCTGTTGCATGCGTGGTTGGAAAAACACATGGTAGAATTAGAAATCAGATATTTGATTTACAAATTCTACCTGCTGTTAGAAACCAGCGCTCAAAAATTCAGCAAATAGACAGCCGCATTACGCGGGCTACGATACAATGCGGCAAAGTACACGCAAATTGGGAAAGTGTCGAGCGAGCGAGCGAGCGAAACCCGCTTAGGAACAATTCTTACACTGTCTGCTACCTGTCCGATATAAACTGACAACAAGTGCATCGGATCTAATACAATAGGTTTGGAATATTTCACTCACCGTCTCTCGGGCTGGAAATGATTGCGTTCGAAGGCAGCCTTCTGATCTTTTCCGTCTTCTTCTTCTTCACAAGGAAAGCTTTCGGCATTTTTTTCGAAAGCGTAGTCAGGCAGCGGTACACGGTCGTGTTGATGTTGTTTTTGCGAAAGCAGAACTTGTTCTGTAGTCAGTGTATCCTGTTGGGAGTTTAGAGGGCGATTCAGCTCAAAGCTCTTCAATCGCTTTTATTGGCTGGTTATCTGTGACGTCACCCGTCAGGTGTAACACACTTTGAGCCGTTCCGCACTAGGGGGCTGGCTTTGGGTCAAATTAAGAAAACCCGTTCCCTATTTGAAGAGCTGGGTAAACCCCATTTAATTCCCACCCCTGGGCACTGGTAGTTGACAAACGCGTCATTTACTCGAAGCATAAGTTGCTGACACCCATTCCTTTCGATTTCAATAAGTGCAAACCAAAGGAAATTCCGATGTCGTTAGAAGGAGCCTGGCTTCAGCGTCAGTCAGCCCATGTTTGAACTGAAGAGCAAAAAAACAACAGGTGACGGCATTTTATTGCCATTGTTCGGCCATTGTTATGATACGAAAGTCAATACAAGAGGATAATTAACAAACGCGAACAATAACAGCTCAATACTCGTCGAAGCTAAAATCAGAAATCGGCAAACAGTATCGATTCATCGCACAGAAATTTGCATCTCAGTCAAAATAACAGTCATTTGTCGAGTTGACCTGGCATTCGTTTAATCTGTATGGGCGCTGAGACGCATTTTATCGAAACCATTCTGTCTTTTTTTTCTCGGCTGAAAGCGTTGCAAAAGTATTCATTCGTCGAAATGGTTTTCTTTGCAAGGGACAAATTCGGTTCCGCGTATTTAACTGTCAGCCTGGCAGGTGACGCAAGATGGCAAGTCTTTTAATAACATCATGTCTCTTGAAAAAGCTTCATATCAAAAAAAAAAATAACATCGAGGCCAAGATTAACTATCTTGTGGTAAATATTACATTTCAGGTCATTATTTTGGACAAAGACGATTAAAGACCTCACCAAAACAAAATGCCAAGGTTACAAGCAAGGCATGTTTTGGGATCTTTTCCTACCAGCGAACGACCTGTCTAAGGAATTTTTTAATTGCTAAGATGAAAGCGTCTGTATGTAATTGCATTCCATCGCAAATCTTATCACAAAATACAATCATATCGCTAAGTTGGATTTTAAATCTTAACTTTTAAAGGGCGTCGATTGAAAATTAATCATCCTTGTTAATCCTGGTTGGGCTCGGGATTACGTAGAAAATGAAAGCAATATGAACCCTGGTTTTCTCCTTGTTGATTTTCTTAGAACAATGAACGGAATTTAGTTTGCAATCTCCTTAATATTGTGAACTCTGCTTAGATAAGAACCTGTCGAGTTTATATGGAAAAAATGTTGTTAGCTTTCGGGTAATTTGATCTCGAATTCCTGAGTAGAACCTCCCCCACTCTTTTTTTAGAGGTTATGTCCGTTTTGGAAAGTGTTTTATTTTTGTGAAGAGAATAGAATTTCTTGGCTGAAAGCCCATTTCATCAGGTTGAGAACTGCGGAGAGATGTGAAGTGCTTCTTGTGGAGAATTTGTGCGATGAAAGCTGTTTTTCTTTCCAAGAGTTTCCGTACCAGTTTATGGTTTTCCACTCAATCATTGCCTGGTTTATCTAAGAGACTGTAATTTCTATGTCGTAAATGTATCGCCGAAGTTTTGAAATTGTTCCTTAAAGCGATAAGGTGTTGATTATATGCCAGCAAAACTCGAGTAATATTTGGAATAAGTGTGTGTTGTTTGTGTAGCCAACACAGTGAAAGTTTTCAAAACCAGAGTCCTTGTTTTGTCCCGTGTGGCCGTGTACGGTTTTCAGATATTAAAATGTTTAAAAAAAAAAGATAAAGATTTCTCGATTCAAACAGGATCAGCAAGAATACAGCAGGGTTGCAAAGTGTGGGTGAGATGTAATTAGCTTAAACCGATTAACCCATCTCGAATGTTGATCTGCAAAACAGAAAAGCAGAGACGTCATCAGTTTTAGCACACAGCGGAAACCCATGACCACAGGTGACCTAAGAGGCAACCATCACGGCTGCTTCGTAGCGATAAAAGCTCTTATTTCACTCCATAAAGCGTTAATTATTCAAAAGATCAGCCACCTTGAATGATAGCTTCTGGATCTTTCTTGTTTGAATGCCTGAGATGGGCGTCTCTCTGACAACATTTTGGAATTAACTTTGATAATGAAGGAAGTAACTTTGCAAATGTCTATCAGACTGCCTATGTCAAGCTATCAAACTAATTTTAATCTACACGGAGAAAATTAACCGGAATTGTTCCAAATTTAGTAATGACCACGGGGCAAAAGTTCCTCCCTTATTGAGGGACGTGCTTTTGCAGTTTTCAAGGCGACAAAATGAGTTTTCTTTTGGACATCTAATGACTTCCTCTGTGTTGAAGGCAAACAATCACTTTGGGAAAGTGACGCCATTCTTACGACCAAGGGAGTCGTTTCTTTTCTTAGAACTGCAGTGTAATCTTTTGTTCGCAGTGAGAATTATTGTCTTTTGTAATACAATAAAAATATATTTAGTGACCTGCTCCCGGACTATGGACCGTGAAACCGAAAACATTAATTCACGTGATATAAAAAGCAATCAAAGCAAAATTTTGGTTAATGACGACATTCCTGTCTCTTAACGCGTTCTTCATTAAGAGTGATTCTTGAAAAATAGTTTGGGTTCAACTAGCGAGAGCACTTTTCAATTCCATGTGATTTGACAGCGGGAAAGCTGCCTGAAAAAAGCCACCGCGTTTAGTCGAACGCGTCTATTGATTCTGCTTGTTTGTGAACATAAAAAGCTCACATGTTTAGCGAGTCGCTTGGCAGTAATTGTTTATTGTCTGGTTGCAAACAAAACTTTTTGTAGTATATAGGTCTTCGGCGTCGTCTATCAATACAAATCTCGTTTATATTTAGTTAAAGCCACAAGAATTCACGTTTCATGCCAGCGTTGCACGTAAAAACTGGTGTTGTATTGACTTAAAAAGTCATGTGAGAGTTTCAGGAAGTTGGACAATAAAGTGATTTAAAAAATTTGATCCAAACTTTAAATCCCTTCATGGGACTGTCTTCACAAGGAGGAAAAATTTCTTAAACTAAATCTAAATGGTCATGCTGAGCGATTATCCTCGCCTAGAAACAGTGCATTGTTACAATGGAGAAACAAAGTTCTACGGTGCTCGAAAATGTGTTGTTGTGGTTTCACCTCGAGGTGCACTCAGCCTTTCACAGCGTGAGGTATGTTTGGCGTGCTTGCCATTTTACAGTGAGCATCTTCGCTTTTCCAATTCAGTAACTTTCCTTTCTTTTCTCTTTTGAGGCCTGAGTTCGGGGCGTTTTTTAATTCAATATTCAGCCGTCCTCGCTAATCTATCTCACTGTGCTTTTCAAGTCATTGTGGTAATTTTCTATGCTCTGTGTGTTTCAAACGTGAATGATTCGTAAAAACATTGACCGCACTTGTATGGGATTAATATTTTCCGGGTTTAAATATTTGCGGATCATGAAGATTTTCCCTGACCTGCAAAAATAAATTCCTGGAGATAAAAATTCTTCAACATCAAACGCCTTAAATATGTATTCTCTCAATCAAACAAAAAAAAAAAATCCACTTTTCTAGTACAGTGTCCGAGGTATTTTCTCTAGGTACGCCTCGATAAGTTAGAAATCTTGAAAGTATTGTGTTACTTTTCTTGATATTGCTCTGCCACTTGAACGCGGAGAAAATCGAAAAGATTATTTTCCCGCAAAAATGTGTCATCTCGCATCGCAAAGATGTGTTTCCGCAAAATATAAAATCTCGCCAAACCCTTAAAAACAAGACTACCGAAAAATCTTCATGCCAAATGTACACGGGATGATCAAATTCCAGGTAACCATGCTGTATTGTGTGTTTGAAAAACCTCCTAGTTCTTTGGAGGGCGCTGCCTACTGTAAAAACATTTACAATGAACTGAAACTTCCTGAAATGGGATTAAAAAACTTAACTGTGAGTTTCAAAAAATACTACTCGAGCAAACCGTGAAGAAATGTAGAGTGCGGGTGGCCGCTATGTCGCAATACTCAGAAAAGAGTGCAAGACATAACTCTGATAATTGTTCTCAAGTGTGGTCGATACAAATAATAATATTTTTTGTGAGTTTCCCTTTCATAATTCAGTTGATAATAGCCAAATACGGTGGGACAGTCAGGGCAGAATATATAAGGTGTAATTTGCGGAATTTTTCTTCAAATATGTCAGTGGACCTAATGCAACAGCCTTCAAGGATTATTTGTCCAGAGAAACTGAAACCGTGAAAGTAGAAAAAACAGTGAAAGTGTACCTCGAGACCAGAGACAAATTTTTTCGGGAACTCGATCCATTACGGAGAAACAAATGTACAAAATAAAACTGACATAGGGCACGGCAAGCGCACGGCATACAGTTTAACACGGCGAATACAAGCGTCGTCCATCCAAATGCAACACTAGAAAATCAATTTGATCTCATTGTCGCCATAACCAAACACAGTTAAAAATATGAAGGCTATTTTGGGGATTCTAGTTTTAAGCTAAATTTTAATTCGCTCTGTATATAGTTTTGGTAATTTGTATCTCTTAGGAATTTTACTTTGATTTTTGAATGCGCTACCCTAGTTACTCTGCTGATTATGTCCTCGTGTGAAATGAATTCATAAATTCATTTTTCCATTCAAGGTGCGACGCAAGATTTCAAAATTGTACTGAAGTAGGAAACTCTTTCACTCCCGTGAGTGACCAACGAGGAAATTCTCCTTATCGTGTCAATAAATTTTACAGCGACCTCTGTAACCTCTACTTCAGTCTTAAAGATTGAGTGATGGTCAAAGCACATTTGTCTTGATCAGAATTTGAACAATATCAATTTTCCCCATCCGCACACAATACAAGATGATACAAGGAACGGATTTGTTTTTCGCCCAAGTCTGGGAAATGAAATTCCGGAAACCAATAATTCAGTGATCAGTCGCCAATATTTAGAAGCTTTTAGAGATGTTGACACATTAACAGGTACATTTGCGTAAAAAAAGAGTCAACATCGATGCGATATTTCTCTAACAGTTCCTTTGTCACTTGTGCAGTTTTTCGCGTGCGTTAAGGAGGGGTATTTTAAACAGTTTGAATATGACTTTCTTTCGGAGCAGCTCATTCTATTAATATCTATAAGATTTGTAGAGATTTTTAAGGGTGAAAAAGCATAACTGGAAATGTCCATTGGCGGTGGCGAAGTGGAAGCAAGGGGGCCGGAGGAAGGGGGTGCAGCCTTCGTTTTAGAGGGACTGCCCCCCCCCAAGTGTCCCTTGCTGAGCGCAAAATTGGTTCCGCAAACTTTCCCTTTTCGTGCCCTTTGCAACTGCCTAACTATAGTGTCACAATTCGATGACGGGCACACTGAGCAGTGTTTGCGTTGTTAACGGGTCTTTCAGCTTGTGCCAACATTTTGGAAATTTGGTTTGGTATACGATAGTCACTCGTATCCTTCTTCTAAACTTGGAAAGGAGGGGGGGGGAGAGAGGGAGAAGAGGATGAGGGGTCAGCCTCCTCCCCCCTGCTCCTCTGCCACGGCGCCCTTGAAATATTTTATCTTTTTTATTTTAACTTTATACCCATTTTGAATAAGTATAGCCGAAATCAGTTCCATATAGCTAATTGAACCAGAGTGAGTCTAAAAAGCATTGAAACCACCTAAAGCAAAATTGAACCATTTTTTTCTGTCCGGGTCTTCAGACTTTGCTAAAAATAGCTGACCTCTTGTCTAAATTTATCGAGCACTCTCAGACAGACTGGGTAATATTAGCACGTCATAATTAACAGTAATCAGTTGCATTTCATGCAACGATAAATTTTCTTTGTATTTGCTAATCTAATCTACGAGAAATTAGCATAGCAAAGTTCTGTTGCCTTGTTGTCTGCGTGAGATGAAGGAAGGAGTACGTTTACCTATGTTGATATTTTAGGTGTAATGTCTAGGAACTGAGGTACAAACTCATTTAACAAAGCTCGGCTTTGTGATGTCCCAAAATTGGGAAGGGAAAAATCTGTCTGTACTTTGGCGCATTCTCGCTGTGAGCAGTCCGCGTAAAAATCTAATTTTCTGTTAAATTACGTCTCAGAAATGTCTAGAATCCATTGTGCGCAAGATATTTCTGCGAGGTAATCCACGCTCACTAAGTTTAATGATAAGTACACTCTGATAACTTTATGGTCACTACATGATTTTATTTGGTTCCTGTCTCTACATTTTGTTTTGATTATCTTAGTCTTGAAACGAAAATAATGTGGTTTCGTAAAGTATATACACTAGAATGATGACAAAATTGGAGCATTCTAATTTGTTTCCAGACCTCTCGCTCTACTTTTGCCGGTGACCACTCCGTCAGTCACTGGTCGTGACTTAAATCAGGTTTTTGAGTAATGAATGGAACTGAATAAAATATTTTCCAGTAAATAAGGTCTCGACCTTTTTACGATCTTTGTCCTCTTCTCAAATACTGACTTTTATATTTGATCCACAGTACGTCACGAGAGCCGAACCTGAACGAGAATAGTTCGGAAAAAACGGAAATAATCGGTTTCAGTCCTAACTCGAAAGCCTTATTTTGGATTATCCAATCAAGTCACGACCAATCATGGAATACGCATATCCTACGAAATGTCCAATTCTAACTCCTATTAATTTTCTAGACGAGCTTTCCCAAATGTTCCAAGAGGCTGGCCTTAATGAAGAACAGAACTATGTTGACCGTCGACTTCAAGTGAATCGTGGCCGGCAGCTGAAAATGTATCGGATTTGGATCCAGTGCAAGTTTAGGAAACCGAGATGACGAGAATGGAAAAACTATGTCTGTAAATTCCATGTAATTCTTGTTAAAGCTTGAATATCATTCAAGACAGTCGAATAAATTTGCACAATTTTATGAACCCAGCTACTCACCAACGATAAATCTTGCAAGTGTAATATTTATTATTTATATCAATTCTCCTTTTGATAATTTTTCACCATTTAATCCAACCCCTTATAGGTGGAATGAAATACAAGGCTACTTCATCAAACTGCTCAACTGCAGTATGGCCAAAGTCCCCTGCAAAGTGTTGTAAAGCCCCGTGAGCCAATAGGATATGGCATTATAGAAATCCTCATCGTTGTTGTTGTTGTTGTTGCTGTTGTTGTTGTTTTTGTTGGAAATGAGAAACAAAAAAAAAAAGGGGGGGTGGAGATGGTAAAAAGAAAGAGAATTAAAACAACCTCAGCCCATTTTTAACCTGGGTAAGAGATAATCACAATACTGATGGTAAGGATGGGGCATGCCCAACATGTTGAAGAATTCTCAAGAGCTTATTTTCCTGTGGATACACATTGATTATCCCTTTAAACCCAAAGAGGGTCTGGCTTCCAAATTCTTCTTACATTACCCTCCTTAAATCACATGCAACAGTCATCAGAAAAAAGGAATTGATCACCAATTCAAGACACTCCTGATTGTCCAACAAATTCTCCTTGTCATCACCACAGCCAATGTAAAGAAAACAGTGGGGAGAATATGCATACTGATACTAGATTCTAGAAGATTAACTCCTGGTAATCTCACACTAGAGTTCACTCTTGGTTTTCACTATCCTCATCATTGAATGTTGTATATTTTGGTAGTTTTGTCTTTATTTCTTTAGCCTATGTGGAAGACAAAAACAAAAAACAATTATATTATTCACCCTACTACTTCAAGTCACACCGTACAATGAATCTTTAATTATGGAATGAGAAAAAGGTTTGGTGAGAGAATTGCATAGCAGTGAGAGCACTTGTCTCCAACTGCTGTGAGATCATTCAACTCCTTTGGCTGGAAAGCTGTTTGTTTACCAGCCTTTTAATGCATTAGCATCTTAAAATCAAAGCCAAAGAAATAACTTCCATAATAGCCAATCAGAATAAAAAAAAATATATGCCTGGGAGCCAATGAGAACTCATCGCAAGTAAATAATTGTCAATTCCCAGGAGAATTTGATTATGAAGTCTGATTGTCCAGGTGAGTATAATCCATAATCCCGAAAAGGAATACTGTAGGCAGTAGCGACTGACATTTTGACAACCTAAGTGGATGTCATCATCAGTCACGTTTTCTGAGGTTCATCAAGCTAAGGTTTTTGAAACATCAGACATTACAGCCATCAACAATCCTACCTTGACAATAAGCTTACATAATTACTCCTGGATGCTAACTATCTATTGGATCCCAAGAGGATGAGAGTGAAAAAGTCTAGATTGATCAATTTTTGTATTGCATCTGACTGGTTGACAAGGTAGTTTCTACCTCTGTTCAAAACTGAAAGTTATCATTTTGGGGATACTTTTGAAGTTCTGTGTGTCCAGGGGGTTCTACCCACCTCCACCCAGTCAAAAGAGGAGTTCAAGTATTGAAAGTAATGATTTTACTGTTAGTTTTTTTATTTTTTATATTTAACAATTATTCACCAAAGGTGAGGTGAATATCGTCGCATAATCCCCGAGACGAAGTTGAGGGGATTATTTGACAATATTCACCGAACCTGAGGCGAATAATTGTTTTAGTATAATTTCAGAGAAATTTCTAAAATCATAACATTTTAGTAACATTTATTAACATTTTAGTTTAACATTTTATATAAAACACGCGGAGCGGTTTATATAGCGTCATATAAGGAACCGCTCGACCAATCAGAATGCTGGAAACTCTTTGTTCAGCTCTGAAATTATACTAAAATGTGTTATTGCAATGTTTTTTACAATGGGAAGTGCTAGTTAACAACTACACTTGAGTACTTACATATCCTGGAAAGTCATAGTCAATCCCAAGATCTTTCATCTTCCTTCTCTTCCTTCGTTCTTTCTTGAGAATATTTCTCAATTGTGTTTCTTGTCCCTCTTTACTCTTTTTCTGTGAAAGCAAAACCAAAAGACATCCTGCATGCCACAATCATCTGATTTGTCCTTTTTCTTAGGTACAGGTGTAGTTGGTTATGAGAAAAAGGATATAAATGAGGTAAACAATATTTAGTTCCTCATCACACACCGACAGCTGTTAGGTTTGTAGGGATCTTGAATTCCAGCACCCTACCTCGAGCACTTGATATACGGTGCGACAAGTACAAAGGTGAAAATTTTTTAGTTTCTCATCAAATAGGTTCAGCCAATAGATGTGTATAGACTTTTAATTTTTGTCATACTACCACAAGTGCTAGATACATATTATGAAAAGGGCATGAGATTAGCCAATTCCATTGAAGGAATTGAATATTCTGGCCAGCTGAAATGCTTCAGAAAAAAATGAAAAAAAAACTAGATCATTATCTCTGACAGTGAATGGGTTCATTATGAGTCATTTGTGTAAGGAACACAGCTTTCTCAAACAGAAAATGATTGCCCTGTTTGCTTTATTGCTAATACTGAAGCTCACCTTATTCTGCTTTTTTACTTCACTTTTCTGCCAAGGTATAGATTTAAACTTCCTGTCTGATCCTTTCCAAAGCATTGGATGAACTCTATCCTTTGGAATAACACTACCTATAAACACAAAAGCCAGCAAAGGAAAATTTTGATCTTTTGTCTTGCGTATTAGGTGAAGGAAAATCTAACTTCTAGTTAAAGAAACTGTGGTGCTGCGTTAGTGGGAGTAACAAGGTAATTTTGGTTTTATCAATTGAGTTGTTAATGTAACTTGGCCAACCTAAAACCATGCAGAGTTTCTGAACTGATGTTCAGAGCATTAGCCCTTTGTCATAGTGAGGGAGAAAGGGCCAACCTTGAAGCATGAGATTTGAAACTCTTTATCATGGCCAATTTACATTTAGATCAACTCAGTTGATAAAACCAAAATTATTTTGATCATCATTTGCTCCTTTTTTCTCCTTCTTCATCTGGGGAGAGCCTATCACACATAACCTCCCAGCAGAAGTCTGTTCTTGAGCCAAGTGATCCATCAGATGGAGCTCATAACATGATCATGTTTATTCTCCATACTGTTCTTGACACATTTCCTATCATACTGACAAGGAGAATTTATTCACCAATCGTGAGCTTCTTGAGCTGGCGATCATTTCCTTAATTCTCATGACCTTACTGTTAGACTCAGCAACGATGGTGTATGGAGAAATAAGAAGCCAGTCACTCCTATAGGTTAAAGGATTACGACAGGACTAAGGGTATTACTTCTCCTCCCTGGACAGGAATGGCAGCCTGTTGTAAGGTTACCCACAGCATTTAATCTTGCTTCGCTGACAATTTGCTAGCACCCATTTATAACCTTGGGTGGAGAGAGGGTCATTGTGAGAGCAGGGCTTGAAATTAAAAGAAAAGTTCAGTCGCCATTTTGTGACTTGATACGTAAATATAGTCGCAAGTTGACGAATTTTAGTTGCAAGAATCCAGCGGTTTAACAAACAAAAATATGAGCCTGCAATGCATATGAATAAGAGACCGCTAACCGCTACAATGGCAGCCGAGCAAGGTAATGGCCTTGCATGCACAACATTGCAGATAAATTAGGTACAATTTTACCCTCTATCTTCAAATGTCTATGATAATCAGGGCACACAACAATATATTTTTCATTTATTTATTTCAGCAAAAATAGTAGCAAAGTAGTTCAACTGCTGGGTTTTTTATTCTACTCGCAAATTTGCGACTCCTTGGGAAGTTTTAGTCGCAAACATAAAAATGAAGTCGCATGTGTTTTGCCTAAGAACACAACACAATCTTGAAACACGACCTCTTGGTCCTGGGGCCCAGCGCACTAACATCTCATATAATATGCCACTAACCACTGACAAAATTAATAATGGTGTGCTCATGCATAATACCCTTTAAGTACCTTTCCCTGCAAATTGTATTCTACTCAAGACAAAATTAGTTGTATCACTGCTTTTCTGGGTAGAAGAGAAAATCTCTACCCAACATTTTCCAAGAGAGATCCATGAGAAAAACCTGCTCCATATGAACTTTCTTCCTGTTTAGTGACAGGAACTGACTACTTACATTTCAGTAATCTTCCAAACATCATGTAGTTGTTCATAGTTTCAGCTGCAATTTTGGCTACTTCATCACAGGCGAACTCTACAAAGGCGTATCCTTTTGATTTTGCAGTCTACATGGTAAAGAAAAAAAAAATTCAAAACAAAACACATAAAGTAAGGAACAAATAAATTTTTCATTCTTCTCCTTGAGTACTTTGTGTTTCAATATGGGGCTAAAGATTACAATATCAGCTTGTCAAAACTGATCACTGTGATTTTCACCCTAACATCAGTCTGCATAGTCTCCATATTATTCTCTATATATTTTGAAGGTGATGACAAGGAGGAAGTATTCGCTAATCCAGAGCTTTTTACGTTGGTGATCATTTAAATTAGATGCTAGTCGCTCTTAACCCTTAAACTCCCAGAATTGATCACATGGATCTTTCCCATTGAAATTCCTTTAATATCAGGGTGTAAAATTGCGCCTAATACAGGTGCCAATGCGACTAAATTTTTCATTTTGGCGACCAAATCCTGAAAATTAGTCACCAAATTCGCAACTAGAATTTCTAATCACACCTTACTAAGAGATCTAGTGATTGTTGAAGATTTTTAAAGATAAATCTGCAGCAAAGTTCCTCGTTAAGCTCGTTTCCAAAACGCAGCACATGCATGATGTCGAACGTAATAGCTAGCCCTTATCGCATTTATGCCCACTGTACGAGAGCTCAGCGGACTTTGAAGTTTCAAAATGAGGCTATCAGGTCACACAGGTAAACCATTCAAGTAAAATCGAAGCAAACGGCTACGTTTGGAGGCATTTTTGTTCATTTTCTTAAGGATACAGCATGTTTTTGTCATGGTTAGACATTGTATTGCATACGGGTGCAACAGTCTATTGAGTGAATCGGCAAATGACAAGATCCACAAGATTAGGATCGAAACCACGATCTTGCCAAACACGTTCAACTATCAAACTAGTGGCGCACAAAACGCACATAAAAAACCTCTCAAATAAAAAACTTACAAACGACCAGATTAATTTACTGGCAAAAGGGCTTAAATTCATTCCAACACCCACTACAAAACAAAAACAGATCAGACAACAACTATTGTGTGACTTTGATCAGTTCGCAAGGAGAATTCGTCCGATTTACATATTCCAAGGAGAGGACAAAAAAACCCATCCCTGCCACGTCAAATCTACATGGATACCACCAATACAAAAATCAGTAGCCCTTGAAAGCTATTTAGAAGAGGTTAAAAGTGACCTTTCAGAAATAGAAATTACAAAGCCAAAAGATAATTTGCTTCCGGCCGAATGCAAGGTGCAGAGGGCCTTGAAATGTGACTGAGTTAAACCTCAAAAAGGCCAACAAAGGAACAACAACCGTAGTCATGAACAAACGCAACAAAATTTTGCTGTTCCTTTCCGAAATGACAGCCATTCTTTCAATCTTCCTTTCGCGATGCCAGGACAATTACCACTAAGAATTTTATCCTTTTCCTCTACAAAAAAAAAATCGCAGATTCCAGAGTTATATGGTCAGACATGGAGTGTTTCTGGTGTTTCTCGAGAAACATTGACCTGATAGCCTCATCCTGAAACTGTAACTCCACAGACCCTTTGCATTGCAGACACAAATGCGATAAGGGTTATTCTATCGTCACTAGACGCCATCTTGGATTTAGGTAACCTATAACATTGTATATGATCCATTCTAGTGTCCTCTTTGTTGCTCGTGCAAATTTAGCAAGCTCATTTTTGATGTTTGTATGACTGTATCACTATGATATGATAATCTATCTAGTACAGTGACAGGGTAAAGAAATTTTTTGTGCGTGTATGTCATAATGGCCACCAACTTTTTGGAATTGGCTACCACTTTAAAATAATTAGGAGCAAAGTGGCTACCAGAAAAAAAAGTTAATTTTACACCCTGAATATGTTATTTGGCAAACTGGTTCTGAAAACAGACAAGCTTACCAGCTTAAGGGAGTTTTCTAGATAGAACAAATTCAAATTCTTGAAGTTGTCTAATTTACTGTGAAATGCATGGCTGTTTGCAGGGAAGGCAACTGGTTGGATCTGGGGTTTGTTTCTCAAAAGTCTCTGTAACTTAACAGGCCCAAAGCCACATTTTAAAATCAAAATTTAAAGGAAAAACAAGCAGGTTCTGGCACCCAAATCAGTCCATTTTGTTTCTTTAACTGATAGTTTTATTGTATCATTTTCAAAACTTTTGAAATTGCCATCTTAAATGAAAACAGAACAACTTTATGGGCCTGTTAAGTTACTGGGACTTTTGAGAAATGGGCTCTAGGAGAATTAAAGGGTAAAGTAGCTTCTAGTTTTTAACTCATCAATAAATTCAACTGCCTGCTGACAAACCATGACAATCTCTCTTAAAACAAATAAATTTGCTTTATGACTTCTACTTGTCTTGTTTCAAAATCAGTTACTGTCTAAACAACAAGTGTTTTCAGGGCTACACTTCTCTGGATGGCCAAGCTAGTCTCAGGAAAAAGCCATTTACTAGTTGACACTTTACACCCTAACATCAGTATACATATTTTATTACACGACTCAGGAAGTCAGAGGGCCAACAACTAAAATCAACCAATCAAAATGCTCTATTGCTGGTCAATATTCTCTCAGTATTGGACCGGGCACTGTCCCGAATGGTCCCGAATGATACCGCACTTGTGTCCCTTTGAACTTCAGTCGTATAATAAATCTCTTATTAACCAAGCTTGCTCGGGACCGTACTGGAAGAATATCGGCCCTCGGTCTTTTTTGTACGGACCTCGCTGCGCTCGGTCCGTACTGTCAAGACCTCGGGCCGATATTCTCCCAGTACGGCCCTCGCGCTTGGTTAATAAGAT